GTAACATTAAACTCAGGGCAAATGATCAGGATTTTTTTTCTTTTTTAACACATTATGATTGCTAATACCAATGTATTTCATTGATATTTGCAATCATTATTAGGGGCACTTCTGAACAATGGAAACTGACTGCTGGACAATGTAGATATACCGAGTTTATGCGTGTTTTATGAGCGTTGTGTTTAGAAGCGTTTTTTTAATCTCCCTGGAGGTATTCCCGAGTGTAGCTCGGGGTAAAGTTTCAGCACCACAAGCGGTAAACCCCAAGCTACACTTGGGAATACCCTGCAGCGCTGATCCGGGATCTTTTCTGCACTTACCTTGTCCTTCGCTCCCGCGATGTCCCTCCTGCACTGTCCCCCGTAATGTCCTCCGGCGGATGCCGGCATCCGTCTTCTGGGTTCCGCTCCCTGCGATGTCGGGATGTACGGGGACGAAACTGGTGCGAAATTTTAAAATTTTAAAAAGTGACATTCACTCAATACACTAAAACCACACAGTAAAACATTACTGTATCAAACTATTTCACATACATTTTGTCCCGAGTGCTTTGTCCTGTGCCCTGCCTACATTTTTACTGTTCTTTCTGCCTGGAAACTGAAAAATGTCCATGGCGTCCAAAAAGCGTCCCTTTAGGTCAAAAGCGGTTTTAGACCAGCTAGAGAACAGCGATAGTAAATTAGAACCACTTGCAGAATTGAGTGATAACGATTTGTGGGGAAATTCGTCATCAGACACTGAAAACGATTTTGCAACTAAGCTCAGTGAAGTGTGAACTTGGCGCTATATTTCAAATTTCAGTGTTTTTGGTTTGATTATTATTATTGAATTAAATGTATTATTATTATATTATTACTTTTAATGATTATTTATTAAATTATAATTTATGATTTTGTGTTTCAAATTTTATCATACCCGGGATGTTTACTAGACTCTTGTTCGGACAGTTTTCAGTGAGTTATTCCTAAAAATTACAGGACTACAATAAAAAAAACAACATATTTCCATGCAAAAAAATGTACCGCTTTGACCACAGAAATATGGACATAATCAGACCGCTACGGAGGCTATGATAACCTCAGGAGACTTTCCAAAATGCCCAGAAAGCACTGAAAAACAGTAAAAAATGTACTATTTCAGACATTTTGAGAGAAATAGAAAGAGCAGAAGCAGACAGAGAGCAGTATTTGCTGTCTTTTTTTTGTTTTTGTGGTGTTTGGATGTGTTCCAGCTCATATCTGTGCAGAATTTATTGCAATAGTGCCTAACATATTTTTTTTCATGCAATACCTCAAAGTATGGTGTACCGGGTCCATTTGAGTACCAGGAAAGCACTTTGCATGCATTTTTCATTATGAAAAAAGGCTTTGGACAGCATCTGGAAATGGAAGAATTTAAAAAAATGTTCATACGCAAACGCCTATAAACGTGGTTAACCGTTTACTAGCGTTTTGCATTTGAAACGCTGATAAAACCTACTGCTGAACGCAAGTTTTCTGCGTTCAAAAAAACTACTGTAAACTCAACTGCCTGTAAATGACTGTAAACGACATAGTGTACATGGACACATAGGAAAACATTAGGGTGAGTTCAGGGGCTGCTGAAAAAAAAGCAGAAAAGCTCCTAAACTTGAGTTTATCAGCTGCAGTGTATATGAGCCCTTACTGAATGAAACTGATTCATTCAGTCTTTTGTTGTGATTAGCTGACTGGGCAAAGCTGATCACATGATACAGATAGGTTGTGATTGGCCCAGTCTGTATCAGCTAACAACATAATTGTATACAATGGATGGCATGACAGGAAGCCATCCATTGTATACAATTGACATGTGATCTGCTATGATTGGTCACAGCAGTCACGTGGCACTGGCAACAGGCCGGTGTAGTGATATGTCGCGCCCAGTCACAACAGATCGCGCCCAATCACAATGGCGAGTGTCCCGCCTGGTTGTCAATCTGCTATAGGCAGGGTGGGAAGGTGTCAAACTCATGCCAGTCACTGTTAGACTGTGAGCACTCATGAAATCGTAACTTGACCCAGTCTAAAAGACTTTTATGCTGGCAAGGTAAAAATCGCCATAATGTGCCTGTGTATTAATTTATTGTGACATTGCCAAGAAAGCAGCAGCTTGGTGTCTGTGCCCCCGCCTTTGCCAGCCCCACAGGCTATTTGAACTAATAGTTACAGGCTTTCAGTATGCATTTGAAAACGAGGGTCAATTCCCTTTAAACACGTTATGTTTGCCACCAGTGACATCACCGAAGGATTCTGACATCCTCACAGCACAGCTGGAGACGCGACCAGGGGTGGACTGACCATTTGGAAACTCGGGCACTGCCCGAGGGCCCGGGGTTAGTAGGGGGCCCCATGAGATGCCCCGGTACTTTTTTCATAGGCTTTTTTGAGTTTGGACAAGGACACAGGGGCCCTATGATCCCCTATTGCATGGGGGCCCCATGAGTTGTCAGTCTGCCCCTGGATGCAACCAGCTCTTTTTTATCCACGCCATCTGCTGGCCCATTGGAGCCCCTGCTGCTGCATGTTTGGTGAACCATTTATTGCCTCTGTGTACCCTCAGCAGAACAGATCTGGTGTTTCAACGTGCTGTGTCATTATCCACTGGTGGATTGGTGAATTCTGATATGTAAGGTGTTTTTTTGCTTGGTATTAACCTCAGCGCCCTGCTTTTTGCTAGGAGCTGCGATAACTGACCTGAAAAAAAAGAAGAACATGGCGGGCAGGCAACTCTTTTTCCTGCTTCTTCAAATAGTGAGTGAAAAATTTACCTCGAAAAGGAACTTTTATAGATGGTACCAGCCAATCATCTTAACCCGTTTTAGGATTCATCCATTTAGTACACACCCCTGTCGCTAAACCATACTCCCTGCACTCAAGGCTGCCTTTCTCTATGGGATCAAAGGGCCTTCATTCTGAGGCCTAAGAGATCGCTATTGATCTTAGCATGGTGGTAACAGGCGTGTCAACAGTGAAGGCATTTTTGGTACACATTAAAGAATAAGTTTACTTTTCTGAACATGGTACATGTTACACCCATATATTACTCCCTCCACACCTCTGATCCCCCCTCCCCCTTTCCCATGACAGCGGCCTCACTCGCCGTCAGTTTTAAAAAATACAGAGCCCCACATAGCCATGTCATTCATTCACAGGAATCTGTGAATGGATGAACTACAAGTACCCTCTGCCACCGCAGTAGACTGTTTGCAGTTCTCAATCAGGGGAGGACTGACAACTCATGGGGCCCTCGGGCAATAGAGGATCATGGGACCCTGTGTCCTTGCCCAAACTCAAAAAAGCCTATGAAAAAGGTACCAGGGGCATCTCATGAAGCCCCCTACTGACCCCAGGCCCTCGGGCAGTGCCTGAGTTTCCAAATGGTCAGTCCGCCCCTATTCTCAATGAACTGTGAGGGTGCTGGCAAATGCTCTTGTAGTTCATAGACACTTCCTACAGCTGTAAAACAGAAAGCCCGTACAGAAGTCAGGGCAGAAAGTTGTTGCAAGCATCTGCAGGAGCCTGACATTGCACCTGTGATCCACTAATCATGGGTTTAATGCTCTGCAGGCTCCTGAGAAAAAAAATAATAAATGCACATTTTTGTTTATCTGCAAAAACATGTGCATTTGTTATATTTTTGTAAAAGGTGAACATAGGTTTTAATACATCTATGTCTATCATACAGTGCCGGGACAAGGCTTTCTGGTACCCAAGGTGAGGTTGTGAAAGTGTGCACCCCCATCCTTCAGCTCTTTAATTTGGAACTACAAAAAAAATACAATACAAGCAAATACAACTTCAAAAAAGTTTACGTACAAAGGATTGGAAAAGAAACTACTATGGGAAGAAGTGAATGAAGTGGTTCCCAATTAGGGTCCACTAAGCATTAAAAGAGAAGTATTGAATTTGTTTTTTTTTTTTCCCCAAATTATACTTACCTAGGTGGATACAGCATCGATCCGATGCTTCATCTGTCCCCTGCTGGCTCTAAGTGTGAGAACTCAGCAATTACATGACCCCTGATCACTGCGTTCTCACAGCCACTCTGAGCAGAGAGCGGGACTGTCAGTCACTGCTATCTGCCCCCAGCAGTCACTGGAGTGCTGGGTTGTGGAGAGTGAGGGACTGGCTGGCTCAGACTCTCAGTGAATCGCTAAGAGGTTGAGCCAGCTGCCGCTCCAGACTCTGGCATGGATTCTGACTTTAAAGTCGTGATCTTTCCCCAGACTGGACCAGTTGAGTGACGTTAGCCAACAGAGGGCTTCAGTACACTATCAGCTGAAGACGGGTCACAGGAGTGCAGAACGAACTGCACTACTGTGATCCACAGGGGAAGCACAGCCAAAAGACCTTTAGATGTACTTCTCCTTTAAAACAATAAGGGGGCTATTTATAAAAAAACAAATGCGTGAATATCACAGCATTTGCACAGCCAAACTAAGAATCCCTGTCTAATATGCTTATTTCCTGTGATTGTTAGCTCCATCTAGTGGCTATAATGAAGTATTTCCCTGCGGTGTTACAGGAAAACACTGCATTATGGCCACTATATGGAGCTTAAGATCATAGGAAATAGACATATTAGACACATTAAGTGGATTATTTGAGACAGCTTTTTGAATGCTGAGACATTTGCACTGTGACTCTTTTATAAATAAACCTGAATTGATTGTTTAGACATAGCAGTAATTCATGAATGAAAGCTACAATAGTACATTATAAATGTATAAATTATGCAGCGCAGGATCTGACCTGTCAAATTGATAGCTGAATCCTACAGATTACACAGATAGAAAGTGGCTCTCCCTGTGTACAACTAGTGTTGTGTTTATCAGAGCTTACTGAGCAGGAAGCTGTCATACTGACAGCAGAGTGGAGTACAACAGTGATCTCCCCGTGTAAACTGGGGGGCCCCCACCCCAGCTGTGCCCCCCTCAGGCAGGTGCATATCCTGTCTCTGCCTTGGTCCAGGCCTGCTACCATATACCACAATATTGCCTGTAACAAAGGTCCAGTATAGATAAATGTGTTAAGCTCTCCCACCAAATGTATCACTGTTGTCCTTCACTTGTACACCCTGTCCCAAGGTACCACCAGCCAGGGGCGGACTGACAACTCATGGGGCCCCCGGGCAATAGGGGATCATGGGCCCATGTCCTTGCCCAAACTCAAAAAAGCCTATGAAAAAAGGTACCGGGGAATCTCATGGGGCCCCCTACTGACCCCAGGCCCTCAGGCAGTGCCCGAGTTTCCAAATGGTCAGTCCGGCCCTGCCACCAGCAAATATGATCCTTGTAGTCCCTTGTGGAACCTGTTCAGTATAGCAAGATAAACATCCAGTACACTGGCTCCTGAGATGATGCAGTTTTTTTTTTGAATATGGATGACATGGACTTTAAATGCACACCAACATGCTGAGGATAAGAATAGCTGAGACTCAATGTCACAAGAAATGGCCGGTATGTCTCATTTATGTTCGAAACTCAAAATACCAGCATACCTGCAGCTCTATAATAGCAGGCTAGTCAAAACATAAAAGAGTAGATACTGATAAATGAATTCTCAGTTTCTTGTTTATTCGTAATCAAAAATTTGCGCAAGAGCAATAGGTTATTAAATGTATAAAATTATATTCATCTACATTTATTTTATTTTACAAAACCTCCACATTATTACCAATTTTCATATATGAAACTGCATGCCTGCAACAAAACACCATAACTCTACGTATGCCTGTATGCATTAAAATGTGTTTACAGTTAATTGATCAGCTTGGCCTTATATGACTTTAGTGTAACCCTAATGAAAACTACAGGATCAGTCAGTAGTTAGGCCCCTTTCACACGGGCATTCCGTATGTCTGTTTTTCATCTGTCCGTTTACGGATGAAAAACGGACCCCCATGTATTTCTATGGACTTGCGGATGTAAACGGATGAACTTTTTTTACATCAGTTAATGTCCGCATCCGTTAACATCCGTTTTTTTTTTGAACGGAAGAAAACCCTATTTTTCTTCCGCAAAAAATACCGGAACGGATGAAAAACGGATCTCAACGGATGTAAACAGACCAAAACGGATGTAAATGGACCAAAACGGATGTAAACGAATGAAAAATGGATGAAAATTTTTATATAAACGGATGAAAAGTGAATGAAAAAACATGAAAAAATGGATGTAAACTCATCTTTTTTTCTTTGAAAAAACGTGACTGAACTGAAGAAAAAAAATGGAACGCCCATGTGAAAGGACCTTAAGGGTTATGGTTTCAAAGTCCTTGGCAGAAGTCATCCTTGAACCTCTTTCATAGATATGATTTCGGTTTGATATTTGGCCTGTACTCCACAGTAAGACTAACTTCAAGAGTTCCTGCAGTTCACACAGACATGGATGCAATGGAGTTGATTTACTAAAACTGGAGTGTGCAAAATCTGGTGCAGCTCTGCATAGAAATCAATCATATCCCAGGTTTTATTGACAAAGCTTAATTTAACAAGATGAAGTTAGCAGCTGATTGGCTGCCATGCACAGCTGCACCAGATGCTGAATGCTCCAGTTTTATGAAATCAAGAAGAAATAGTGACAATACATAGACAACACACTGCCAATCATGACAATGGGGGTTTTTTACTGAAATTGGAGAGTGCAAAATCTGTTGCAGCTGTGCATAGAAACCAATCAACTCCAAGTTTTATTGCCAAAGCTTAATTAAACAAGATGAAGTTAGAAGCTGATTGGTTTCTGTGCAGAGCTGCACCAGATTCTGAGTGCTCCTGTTTTAGTAAATCTCCCCCAGTATGTTGGTAAAAAAATAAGATATCATAGCTACATTAGCAACACAAAGATGCTCATGAAATTATGCACCCATTGAGAAAAATCTTTGGTCAATCCAAGGATGTGTCTGTTAGTTTTGTAATGCATAGAGTAAACTCTTTTTGCTCTGTATTTTACATTATTAGAGACCTTATAAACCTATATTGCATGTGTAATTTTCCTATTCAATCAAATGCAATTGATTGTACACTGCTCAAACAAATTAAAGGAACACTTTTTAATCAGAGTATAGCATCAAGTCAATTAAATTTATGGGATATTGATCAGGTCAGTTAAGTAGCAGAGTGGGGTTGTTAATCAGTTTCAGCTGCTTAGGTATTAATCAAATTAACAACATGTGCACTAGATGGGCAACAATGAGACAACCCCCACAACAGGAATGGTTTTACAGGTGGAGGCCACTGACTTTTTTTTCCCTATTCATCTTTTCTGACTGTTTTTCACTAGTGTTGCATTTTGCTATGGTCAGTGTCACTACTGGTAGCATGAGGTGATACCTGGACCTTAAAGAGGTTGCACAGGTAGTCCAACTCCTCCAGGTTGGCACATCAATATGTGCCATTGCCAGAAGGTTTGCTGTCGCCCATCACAGTCTTAAGTGCATGGAGGAGATTCCAGGAGACAGGCAGTAACTCTAGGAGAGCTGGACAGGGTCGTAGAAGCTCCTTAACCCATCAACAGGGCCAGTATCTGCTTCTTCGGCCAAGGAGGAACAGGATGAGCACTTCCAGAACCCTACAAAATGCTCACAGCCCAGCACTATAGAGCTCGATTGGCATTTGCCATTGAACACCAGAATTGGCAGGTCCCCCACTGGCGCCCTGTGCTTTTCACAGATGAGAGCAGGTTCACCCTGAGCACATGTGACAGACGTGAAAGGGTCTGGAGAAGCCATTGAGAACATTATACTGCCTGTGACATTGTTCGGCATGACCGTTTTGGTGGTGGGTCAGTGATGGTCTGGGGAGGCATATCCATGGAGGAACGCACAGACCTCAACAGACTAGACAATGGCACCCTGACTGCCATGGTATTGCACCCTGACCCACTGCCATTAGGTATCGGGATGAAATCCTTGGACCCATTGTCAGACCCTACACTGGTGCAGTGGATCCTGGATTCCTCCTGGTGCATGACAATGCCCGGCCTCATGTGGTGAGAGTATGCAGGCAGTTCCTGGAGGATGAAGGAATGGCCCTTATGCTCTCCTGATCTAAATCCAATAGAATACCTCTGGGATATCATGTTTCGGTCCATCCGAGGACACCAGGTTGCACCTCAGACTGTCAGGAACCTGGTCTAGATCTGGGAGGAAATACCCCAGGATATCATCCATCCTCTCATTAGGATCATGCTCTGACAGGTATGCATACAAGCACGTGGGGGCCATACAAACTACTGAGTACCATTTTGAGTTGCTGCAATGAAATTTCAGCAAAACGGATTAGTTTGCTGCATCATTTTTTCACTTTGATTTTCAGGGTGTCTTTGAATTTAGTCCTCTGTAGGTTGATCATTTTAATTTCCATCAAACGATGGGGCATCCTTACGTTCCTAACACATTACCCAGTCCATATCAGTATAGATATTCAGCATGATATTTTTCTTCATTGAGATCTGATGTGTTTTCAAAGTGTTCCTTTCATTTTTGTGAGCAGTATATGCTTCTAAAGCATTTATCATGGTTTTTTTTTTAACTTTTTTAATGTATTGTGGTCAGGACTACATAAGAATATTTTAAAAGATTATTTTACTTTCGTTATAGTGGAATGAAACTCCCATTTTTTACTTTCTCTCATCTTACAGGTTGCATATACACATTGTGCATATCCTCCGGCTGTGCCATTATTCAGATATCAATGTTTGTTTTGGTTGGTGACGTCACAGGCACATGTGCACTTTATGCTACATTCACGGCACACCATCCATGCTGTGATCTACAGACCACCTTGCTATGGTGAAGTAATGCTCTGTCCCTGGCATAGGTGAGCATCCTGACAGCTCTTTACTTAAATTTGTGTATGTGCAAGATTGATGGATGATGTGGGTGAAGGGTCGAAGCACAGTTTTGGGAAGAAAAGGAAATCATTTTTAAAAAATGGTGCAGCCTTTAGGGGAGTGCAGAAAAACAATAATACAAAATAAACACAGTAAACATAATTATTACAGCTAAATAGAGCTTTTAATATTCATAGGGTGAAGTTTATGAATGACTGTGATTTTTTTTTCAGGCAGCAAAATACAGAATTTATTTGTGCTTAAATTTAGGTAAATATGAAATATCAAGTATGAATATTTAATACTATCATTTCCACAGTGTGGTATGTATAACACACTGACTTGCTTCCCTTGTTTACTTACTGGGCAACACAGTGAAAATCTTGGTGGCCAGCTTTGGCACAAAGGGCACCAGGCATGAGATTAGGTACATGTGAAACCAGTTTGAGTGAACATATGAACAGCTTGGCTGACAGCACCTTAGCAATCAATATGGCCGTGCGGCTTGGCCATATATTGTCATCCGTTTCCATTGTGCAGGTGAGACGCATAGTAACCTGCATCCCAGCAGGCAGTGATGCTGAATTGCTAGGTGGCAGATCCACCCGTTACTGAATAACAGTCATGGGGCAGCCAGGCCGAGGACTCGTTTTTAAAAATTGGGGCCACATCCAGTTACACTTTTCAACTGGAGACTGTCTCCTCAACTTGGGAACTGTCCCTGGAAATCAGAGACTTCTGGGTACTCTATCCAGGTTTCAGTCCTGTAAGGCAAACTGTTTTCATGTTAACAGCATGAAAACATACTGGTAGGTTAAAGAATAAGTTCACCTTCTAAAAAATAATAAATGCACATCTTTATGTGGGTAAAAAAAATTTCCATTTCTAATTTATCATTAGGAACCTGTATAGCATTGGACCCATGATCAACCCACACGGCTGCGTTTTTTTTTTTTCAAAATTGTGACAGTGGGTGCAGGGAGAAGCTCCCTAGCCAGCTGTCACAACGGGGACTCGGAGGGGGGGGGGTCCAGGGGCTGCTGCATTATTAACATGTTAAATGTTACACCCTGAATGAAGGTGAACTTATCCTTTAACCTCTTGCCGACCGCGCATAGCTGAATGACGGCTTCACCGCGGCCGGCCAGTTCTGAGTGGACGTCATATGACGTCCTCCCAGAACGCGCTCTCCTGCGCGCCCCAGGGGGCACGCACCCGGCGATCTCCGTGATCGCTGTGTCCTACGGACACAGCTGATCACGTGATGTGGTGAAAGGCCGATCCCACCGGCCTTTTACCACGTGATCAGCGGTGTCCAATGACACGCTGATCACAGGAAATGCAAGTGCCGGTTCTCGGCTGCACTTTCCTCACGCTGTCAGATCGTGAGGAAAGTACTGCCGAGAACCGGCAGTTGTCAGAGCGGGGATCGGCACCGATCA